TACAATTATACTTAATATTACAATTATACTTAATATTACAATTATACTTAATATTACAATTATACTTAATATTACAATTATACTTAATATTACAATTATACTTAATATTACAATTATACTTAATATTACAATTATACTTAATATTACAATTACTTACATACATAGATACATACAAAACTTTATTTAAACCACGCTAGCCTCAACAGCCGTTGGAAGGCTGGTTTCCATGAGGGGCGTGAAATTACCTATATACAAGAAATACAAAATATAACAAAAAAAATACAAGTGATTTTAGCTGCACGATTACACACAAGCAAATTTCAACTGATTCTTTGTTTTAATATCGATTTGAAGGAGCTTAAGGATTCAGCAATTTTTGCCTCATGGGGAAGATTATTCCAATGCAAGGCACCATTATAACTGAAGCCCCGTTTACACTACGCTCAATTTTTGGTACGGCACGGATAAAATTGGTACCCGTTATTATTATTATTATTATTTAAGCTTATTTATTCACGGTAGCCTTTCAGAAGCCTGTTTTTCAAAGGGCCGTGCACACTTACTATAAACTATTATAAGAATATTAAAATTATTAACTAAAAAAACCCAAACAATCATGCATAATATACTCTATTTACATCGGCAAGGCATAATGCTTTGATATGGTTTGGCAGGATGACCTCCCAATTCAAAAACACCATATAGTTGAACCATATAATCATACCATATAATCATACCATATAGTTGAACAATAGTTGAAATAGGGGAGTACAAATGACTTATACATCATCTGTAGTGTTGCTTGAGGTACGTAAGGCTTCACTTTTCGTAACATAGCTATAGAACAAGAAATCTTTTTAGTTTGTTTTTCAACATGTTTTGTCCATTGTAATTTATCGTTACCACTTTTTTGGTTCTTGGACTACCTATTTAGCTAGTCCAAGAACCAAAAAGTGGTACGGTACCAAAAATTGAGCGTAGTGTAAACGGGGCTTAGCTAAATAGGTAGTCCAAGAACCAAAAAAGTGGTACGGGTACCAATTTTATCCGTGCCGTACCAAAAATTGAGCGTAGTGTAAACGGG